CCACGAGTCATAAAAGAGCCAAGGTTGCCTACCCCTGATATAGGGTTTTGTGCTTGAGCAAGGGGTTGGACTAGAAGACCTCCAAGGTTCCTTCCAACTGTACTATTATTCTGTTAAGGTTCCTGCACCTCTCCGTCAATTGTCATCTTCCTTGCTCTCTACAATTATACATTTTACAAAGTTCTGTCTTGTGATCCCATGCTTTGAAAAGCAGTCTAGTAGCAAGATTTCTCCAGTTAGCAAATGGGTAGGATTGCACATGGGAGACTGTCGTTCAGAGATCTTGATTTATAGCAACGCATCCAAAAGATTAATTCTAGGGTGTTGATGGGAAAGGCACATATATATAGACTATAAATAAATGTAACGTAAGGAGATCTCTTGAGAGGTAAGTCAGAGTGTAATTTAAAAGTGTATCTTCACAGACATTTTCAGATATCTACTCAAAGCCAGAAGGCAGTGGAGCATGACAGCACTAGCTTTCTCCCACTGATGCTTCCCAGTAACCTTCCAAAGACATATTATCTACGGCCAAGGAGTTAATTTGTATCCATAATGACCACTGGCCATTGATAACCTTATTTTTCCACAATGCCCTGTGCGAAGAAGCATTTTCTTTTCCCTTTCCTTAATCTCTCTCACCATGCAGTTCCAATATTGATTCCCAGTTCCAATTCTCACTCTGTATAATCTCTAGCATACTCTATGTGTGTGTGTGTGTGTGTGTGTATCTGTATGAGTTTTGTTCTCAGTTGAGGAAGTCCATGTTGATTACGATCCCAATTTACAGGCAGGAGTTTATCCTTCACTTCCTCAATGCAATCCTATTGACATTTCTCTCCAACAGAAGAATACTTATGAGAGATTTTTTTTTAAATAATCCTGATTTTTTTAAAAAAAATCTGATTTGGGATAATTGAGAAAATAATGGTCAGGTATTGATCCTTAAACTCAAGAGTTCCACATCTTGTTAAATCTTCTCGGGCATGCTAGTTGTCCTTTTTCTACTCCTTTTCCAGAATCACCTGATATACGAATATGTACAGTTAGTCCTTGATTTATAGTTATTCATTCAGTGACTGTTCAAAGTTATAACAGCGGTGAAAACAAGTGACTTATAAGCATTTTTCACACTTATGACAGTCGCGGCATCCTGGTGGTCACATGATCAAAATTTGGCCACGTGGCATGTATGTATGACAGTTGTGGTTTCCCAGGTTCATTTGATTGCCTTTTGTGACCTTCTGACAAGCAAAGTCAATGGGGAAGCCAAACCAACTTAACAACCACATTAATGACAACTGCAGTGATTCACTTAAAGCTGTGTCAAGAAGGTTGTAAAATTGAAGTGTCTTGGCGACGTTTCAACGAAGTCCCATTCTTCATCTTCAGGCTGGTGTTTTCAGCTTCGTGCTCCTCGAAGCACAAAGCTGAAAACACCAGCCTGAAGATGACGAATGGGACTTCGACGAAACGTCGCCAAGACACTTCCAATTTTACGCGGGAGAAAACCCGAATAACCAAAGATCTACATACACACACACACACACACACACACACTTTTCTTAAAAACATTTTCAATATGACATCGAGAAAGGCATTTCCATTCCGACCATCACTAGATTTCAGAAGCAGAAGCCTTTGAAACATTTTATCATCCCGAAGCTAAATTCTTGGATGGTGTAGCTTGAAACTCTGCTGCCATTACAGAATCCAAATTCAACACAGTCTCTCAAAGAAGATTTATATGTTTTTACTGCTTTATTTAAAGAAACCAAACCCCAACTGTCTGGCTTTCGTAATCGGCTTTGAGTATTGGGGTCAGATTGAGATGGCCAAAACAGAGACTTCTCATGTTTGAGAAAATTGAGATGGCCAAAACAGAGACTTCTTGTACTTTCAGGCCAAAGGGAAAAATTATAGGCCTTCGAAGAACCAAATGCATCTTCACCACCATCCATGTTACTTCTCTATTTAAGAAATATGTTCTAGGTCATATTAACCCCTGTGTTACAAAAAGTACACAGATCTTTTTGTTAACAGTGTAGTTCCTCAGAGAACTGTTTGTTCCGTGTTGCTTTAAAACAGTTAGCAACTTTGCTTTAAAATAGCAACTCCACCCTGCCCCCTCAAAAAAAAAACTAAGTTTACAGACTACATATAATCTGATATAATCAGCTTGCCTGATGGCTATAGAAAAGGATAGGAAATTAAAATGTGGCTGAACGTTTTTTAGCTATGTAGATTTCTTAACAGCGCCACCAAAGGATGCTAGATCCAAAAACGCTTTCTTTCAAAAGGCAACTGGAGTTAGTTTTGCTAGAAGACGTTTCCCTTCTCATCCAAGAAGCTTCTTTTAGTTCTGACTGAACGGTGAAGAGTGGAAGGATTTATATTCCTCGCGGTCATCTGGTAGTGAACACTCAATGACTCTCAGAAAGAGTGCTAACAGCCAGATGACTGCAAGGAATATAGCAAAGCAAGAAAACCCAGCTGCCTTTTGAAGCAAAGCATTTTTGGAACCACCGTGATCTTCTGGACGACTGAAAATCTCCATAGACATAAAGGATGGTACAGTTCCATCCTATTAGATGTCAGATCACACAGAAAGGCAAAATCAGTAAGATTCTAGTAGTTGTGAAGATGGATATCGGTCAGTGGTGGAAATGTCAACACCTGCAAAATGATAGACCAGGGGTAGGCAACCTTGGCTCTTTTATGACTCGTGGACTTCAACTCCCAGAATTTCTGAGCCAGCTATGTGATAGACCAGTGGTTCTCAACCTGTGGGTCGGGACCCCATTTGGGGTCGAACGACCATTTCACAGGGGTCGCCAAACAAGGCTGTCTGCCATTTTTTCCCCCTTTTCTTTGGCCACGCCCCTGGCACCCGGTGATGTATAAGTAGTTGAGGGTCACCACAACATGAGGAACTGTATTATGGGGTCGCGGCATTAGAAAGGTTGAGAACCACTGTGATAGACAAAGCATCATAATCCAAATCCTGCCATTTTGTAGCTGAAAAATCACACCACCAGAAATGCTTTTCTTCTTGGTGTCTGGGGAAAGAGTGAGTGAATCCCCAAGAGACACAACTGGATTTCCCAATGAGAAACACCCTGTGAAAAGTCTTTTTGTTTCAAAAGCTTTCAATCATTTCCTTGGCATCAAAGAAGACAGTAAGAGCAAAGAGATATAATGAATTTGTGCCCTCTGTTCCCTTCTAGACTTAGGGCAGAGCTTAATGCAAAGCTAGTCCTTAATGAAATTTTCTTCGAAATGCAAAGTAATGACTTCTAATTTCCTCACTTAATCTAATGTTACAGCTACTCCATTAATGTCACCACCTATTAGACACTTAACAACCAGCTTGTTTAGCTGCAATTTTATCATACGGATGCATATTCTGCTTTTCTCTTTCCTGATTTGGATAATGTTTAGTAATGGCAGTGGGGAACAGCCATAATTTAAATATCTGAAAGCCTTCAGACCCTTAATCCCCTCTGGAAAATGAGAATATTTAATGTCTTTTGCATTAAAAAATGAAACAAGCATAAAGTTCATACGCCTAGCTTGTTTCTACACTTAATTCTAGATTAATCAGTGCTGATTCTGAATTACCATATTCCCATTCTGTATATTTTATCGGTTATTTTTAAAAAGCCTCTCCAGTAATGCAATAAAGAACAAGGCATCTGCCAAGGTAATCATCTTTTCTCTATCAATCTGACAATCCACTTTGCACTTCTAATTTTGCTGCATCAGAATTCATGTTTCTGATGGGGTCAAGAGTGTACAGACGGTCTAACAGACTGGGCGGCATAATTTACAGTCATCATCCCATAATACCCCATAGTAATGGAGTCACACAGATGCACCCTTTGCTTCCTACTCCGAACAGAGCAATGGCAAAGGGGAAGCTTGCAATTTTGTGGCTCTGTTGGGGCAGATGTAACTGAACAGTCAATCACTGTCATTACAATTGGAAAATATATGCAGGCAGAAACTTAACTAATGCTTCCATCAACCAGCACCGAGGTTTCATGCTATAACCAAGAAAGAGAGACAAGCTTACAGAAACATATCTGTGCATCGGTTCCATGCATGAACACTATATTCAAACACATACTTGCCCTCTAGATTCAGTCATATCAAGGGACTCCTATTTTAGCTGCCAACTTAAGGATGATTAACAATAGTAATAACACTTAAACTTATATACTACTTCACAGTGCTTTACAGCCCTCTCTAAGAGGTTTACCGAGTCAGCATATTTACCCCCAACAATCTGGGTCCTCATTTTACCGACCTCAGAAGGATGGAAGGTCGAGTCAACTTTGAGCTGGTCAGGATCGAACTGCCGAATTGCAGGCAGCCGGCAGTACTGCATTTTAACCACTGCACCACCACGGCTCATGCTAATGCCACTTCTGTCATTACAGGTAGTCCTCGACTTACAACCATTCGTTTAGTGACTGTTCAAAGTTAGAACAGCACTGAATAAGTGACTTATGACCGTTTTGCACACTCAAGACGGCTGCACCATCCCCAAGGTTATATGATCAAAATTTGGACGCTTGGCAACTGGCATGTAATTTATGACAGTTGTAGATTCCCGGTGTCATGTGATTCCCCTTCTGTGACCTTCTGACAAGCAAAGTTAATGGGGAAGCCAATTCATTTAACAACAGTGTTACTAACTTAATAACTGCAGTGAGTCATTAACAACTGTGGCAAGAAAGGTCATAAAATGGAGCAAAATTCACGTTACGAATGTCTCGCTTAGCAATGAAAACTTTGGGCTCAATTGTGGTCATAAGTCGAGGACTATGTACTTGCCCCCTAGAGATATTTACAATTCAGGCATATTAAATATTAACTGCCAATGAAGGGTGATAATGCCACATCTGTCATTATGCAACGTGGAAGAGAAATCATGTCTTTGGCTCAGATGGAACGCCGTTAGATATACATCACAAAGTGAAGGGGAATCTACCTACCAGTTTCTTCATCTATGTTAAAACGCCCAAGTCCGCTGCCATCACGGATGGAATACTGGATCTCACCATCTCTGCCGGTGTCGTCATCTCTAGCACTGACTTGCAAAACGCTTGTGCCAATGCGGGAGTTTTCCTTCACGGAGCCAATGACCACGAAGTCAGAAAAATAAGGGGTGTAGAGATTTTCATTCACGTCCACCACTTCGATTTCCACGAAGGACACCGAGGACAAGGAAACTGGGCGCCCCTTATCCTTGGCTCGTACGGTCAAATTGTAGAACTGCTGCTTCTCGTAATCAAGTTCTTTGCTGAGCCGGATGGCACCGCTGGATTTGTCTATTTCAAATCTCCCGTTGTAATCATTCACCAAAGAGTAACGCACTTGTCCCCCGAGACCAAGGTCTGGATCTTGGGTTTCAAGCCAAGCAATGACTGTACCGACTGGTAAATCTTCCAAGACTTTCACGCTGTAGCTGGGTGGGATGAAAACTGGAGCACAATCATTGACGTCATCCAAAAAAACCTTTAAGGGAACCACGGAAAACTGCTGGTGCCCGTTCTCTGCTCTATCTCTTGCTTCTATTTTTAATGTGAAATTTGCCTTGGCTTCCCTATCCAAATGATCACCCACGTAAATTATCCCTGTGGAGCTATTGATTACAAATTGTCGCGTGTCTGTCAAGATGGAGTAAATCACTTCTCCGTTTGCTCCCAGATCTCGGTCCCTGGCCTCTACCTGGATAATCTCCACACCAATACTTGTACTTTCCAAAATATTAACGGTGTAACTTTCCTGCAAAAATACCGGCTTGTTATCATTGGCATCTTCAACAGTTATGGTAAGTAATCTCCATGCGGCTTTCTGGGGGTTGCCTAAGTCGTAAATGGTAATATTAAGAAGATACAGTTCTGTTTTCTCACGATCCAGAGCCATAAGGACCTTAAGCAGACCAGTCTCCGTTTCAAGATTGAAACAGCTGTCAGTGTTACCGGCTGAAATGGTGTAGAGGACCTTCCCATTAAATCCAGAATCAGCGTCGTAGGCCTTGATTCGATAGATGGTAGCACCTACAGGGAGATCTTCTCTGACTGACAGGTCAGAGGGAAAGGATTTATCAAAGTGTGGGGCCTGCCTGTTCACAGAATAAAAATCAAGAAAGCCATCTTCTGAATTAAGTTTCACGTTGGCTTTAGCCTTTTTTAGCAGCTTCTCTGCCAGTCTCTGTGCAACCCTGGTCTCTCTGCAGCTAAAGGTCTTGGAAGAGACCTTTCCATGAACTACTGAAATGTTGACGAACATAGAGTCAGCAAAATACTCCCCATCGGTTGCTGTGATCCGAAGTCCAAAATTACTGGTCTTGATGCTAGCACCAGCAAGAGACTTTTTAAGCTGTAGAACTCCCGAGTCTGGATTCAGGTAAAAAAATCCCAATTCGTTACCTGAAATAATTTTGTATTTCACCAGCTCTAGCTCATCAATGTCTATGGCAGAGACAGCTGTGATATGCCCACCTACAGGAAAATCTGACGAGATGACTCCTTGACAAGCCACCTTCTCAAAGAGCGGCTTGTTGTCGTTCACGTTGCCTATGACGACTGTGACATTAACCTCACTTTCATGGCGGTAAGGGGACCCCCAATCCGAAGCCCTCACAATAAACCGGTAGCTCTCTGGGGAGGACTCAAAATCCAGTTCTTCAGACGTGCTAATCACCCCAGTAAACTGGTTGATGGAAAAAGGGAGTGAATTTAAACTAGCAATGCTGTATGTAATATAGCCATTTTCCCCACGATCTTTATCAAAGGCAGAAATTGATAGAATGCTCGTCCCCACAGGGAGGCTTTCATTGATATAGGAGCTGTACGAAGGCTGGGTGAACTCTGGAATATGATCGTTGGCATCTTCAATTCTCACAGTAACAGGTGCTTTTAAGTCCCTTCCTTTATTTGTGACTTCTAAGTCATACAATTCCTTGTCAACAATTTTTAAAGGAAGTGCTGTGGTAAGCAGCCCTGTTTTGGGATTTATCTTGAAATACTGTGCATCTTCACTGGGAGTTAATTTATATTCTTCTCCCTGGGTTTCTGGGATTAATTTAACTACGGCAACCACTACTCCAGGAGGAGAAAATTCACTGATCGCTACATCATAGGTTTCCTTTTCAAATTTGATTGGATTGTTCTCTCTCTTAGGACTGGCAATATGAACCAGTTTCATAGCTGAGAACTTCTGAGGAGACCCTTTGTCTTTGGCTTGCAAAGTAAGGTTGTAGCCATATGGGAACACATCCCAATCAATGGCCTTTTTTTCTTTGACTTTGTACTCATTCAACCATCTCCCCTCCTTAACCAACTGAAAGTACTCCAAGGGATCTCCAGCCACAATAGAAGCAGATTCAATTTCACCGTTGGCACCTTCATCTACATCATCAACATTAATTACAGCATACGTAGATTCCTTATCCAAAGGGAAGGGGACATGCGTCACAACATTAATAGTTGGGGCGTGCTCATTTATACGTTCAACATGAACGTAAAGTTTGGCAGTGCTGCTTACTCCGTTGTTGCCATACAGCTTCATCCCACGGTCCACAGCCAGAACCTCAAGATCATAGCGGTTCTTCTCATCGTAATTTAGCCTGCCACTTAAGGAGATAACCCCACTAGTGGGATGGACTGAGAACAGATCAACTTTATTTTTAAAGTAGTAATAGAATTCACCATTCGAACCAATATCAGCATCTGTCGCGGTGACCTGTGCGATACTAGTCCTCAGAGGTGTGCTTTCAGGTATCGTTACAGAATAGGTGGTGGGTGAAAATAAAGGTCGTAAATCATTCATGTCCAAAACCTGTATGTTCACTTTTGTCCAAGCTTCCAAGTCTTCTCCCCGGACAGAACCTTTTATTACTAATAAATAGTTGTCCTGGATTTCTCGATTCAGTATGGCGGAATTCCCCCCTTTAGTTCTTATCCTAAGGAAGCAAAAATCAGCTATTGCAACTTCCTCTGCTTTGAAGAAACCTTCATCATCGCCTGACACAATCCTGTATTTGATGTCCCAAGAGAAATCAGCCATCGCGATGCCCATTCTGCTTTGGCTGTTCAAGTAAGTCCGTGCCGCTGAGTTTTCATACACCGTGGTGTTGTAAATGGAATGTGTGAAGTGGAAGCCCAGTGGTAAACTCCCTTGAAGGCCATAACAGATGTTACCCAAAAGCTGGACAAGCAGGAAGACGAGGCCAGAAGCAGGAGCCAATGGATATGACCAGTGGCCCATATTCTTCTCCATCACATCATTCTTTCATCCTTTAAAAATAAACAGAAAGATGACACTGATAAGCATGACACATGGTTTGACCGATGACGTATATAAATGTATACACGGAGCCAGTTTGGCTTTTCAAATTGTCCACCAAATTCTAACAGAATCTATATCCACCAAGCTGAAAGTTACCCATCAGCCAGAAAGAAGCTTTACAATTCTCAAATTAAAATTGTTTCTAAAATGACCAGTCATATATATGAATTGGGTAGCTATTAAAAAATTGAAGAGAGGGAGGGAGGGAGGGAGGGAGGATGGAAGGATGGACAAAAGAATAAATATTTTTTTATAGCCTCAGTGGTATAAAAAGTGGTAAAAATACATTAGAGTGTCTTATAGGTGGATAAATACAACTGGTAAGCTATCATCAGTAACCTGTTTTAGCATTTCTACAGCAGTATTAAACATTATGGATTGCTTGCTAATGGTTTAAAATAGATAATATTAGAGAGGTCTGTAAGAATTAGACCAACCAATAGGTTAAGCACCAAATGCAACCTTAAACACTTGGTTGTAAATAAAGTTTCTATTAGGAACTTCAAATTAACCTCAAGTTAAAATCCTCAGTGCAGCTTTCAGAGACAGCTGGAGCCACATGCATCCCAACTGAATAACTGAAACCTTACAAATTAAACACACACGTGCCCTATATATATGTATATCTGTAAACATGCAAAATATGGTAAACATATGTATTGCAATGTTGTGCTTTTCAATTACATCCTTCAGTGTATGGCTACAAGTTAAGGATCCATCATGCAAATACATGCATGCCACATGTTAAGAGTCCAAGTCATTGCAAGAAAGATCCTAGTCTCAGGATAAGATCACACATTAGATGTGCCCAAGGAACATTGCTCAAAATATTTCATTCATTCATTCATTCATTCATTCATTCATTCATTCATTCATTCATTCTGTGTAGCTGCCCATCTCAGTCAATGATTCTGGGTGGCTTACAATTTCTTACATATACAATGTCCTATAAATCTATTTGTTTTTTTTGCCATGGAACACACCACCTTTCCTGAAATTTGTAACAATATGAATTGGGAAAAAGAAATTTCACAATAAGATAGCCTTCAAATTATTATCAAATTACTATTAAAATCGCTGTGGTTGATCATCTGCTATAGGGACACCTTTCCTACGGGGAACGGTAAGTTCAAAGTAGGGGAAGAAAAAACTAGCCAAACATTAGCATAACATTCCACAAGATAATCTAAATCTTGAAACCAACATTTAGATTAAGCACTGTTCTTGGACAGCCTTCTCTCCCCGCCACCCACCCCGAATTCTTGGCTTCTGGTCAACTGGGATTCTTGGATGTAACATGAATCAGTTTTGTTTAGCTGATAGCTAGTAGGAAATGTAATGAAATTAGAGATAACCAGTCATAAAAGGACTGAGTGAAAATGAACCAAATTCACTCAGTAAATATGCTTCCTTCAGAAACAAAGAACTCAAATGAATATTATGGTTTCAAGTGGAAGATTAAGAGTGTGATTACTTGTGTGTGGTTTGGACACACCTAAGAAGGAAACTACACAGAACTTCAGTGATTTGCTTACAAAAGTGGGGGGCGGAGGGGGAAAGGAGAGAAATAAGATTTGTTCTGAGCAATAGTATCAATGGAAAATGGAACTAGTCAAGGTGACTTTTAATTACACATAGCGATTCCCTGACAATAGCTACTACTAGCACTCTGGGAGACTTGAGTTTTTAAAATCTGCTGCCATTCACCTTGTAAATGCAAATTTCCTGAGCTCAAGACAAACACTTCATTACCATATTGATGAAATTTAGGATTTTCTTCCTGTCTTGGCAGAACAGTGGCATGCAACTGGACCGATGGTTACAAGAAATGCACAGGGACAAAAGAGGGAAAAAACATCAAGAAGCAGTTGGACACGCAAGAGTAGTAAACACAAGCCAGTTTTCGGATGCTGATATGGACCTTCCTGCCCAAAGATCAATTGTCTCAATTAGTGTTTAATGGCTTGAGAAGCAACACTTATCAAAGAAGTGTGTTGCCCGCTCTGCTTTTTTATTCTTCTTTAAATTTTTTTGGGTAGCAGACCACAGTTTACCAAATCATACACAGTGAAGTCTAAGGGACTTATCCCGCATAGTGCAAATGCCATAAATGATGTTATTTACAGCCATTTGCGTCATTTGCAAGTGGCACGTAAGCATGCCGCATGCACAAGCAATGCAAAATGTCACAAATGATGGATTTGCATTCTTTACCTAATGGCATCATTATGTGAATGACTCAAATGAACGCAAACTTCAGAAAATTTAACATAAATGTAACTGACTCGTGCCTAGTCTTTCTGATACAGGAGAACTGTCTACAATTTTGGGAGGCTCTGCAGACATCAATCTGGTCCATTGCATCTCTACGTCCCTAAACAGGGCAAGTGAAATTAAGGTTTTCACTTCATTGGCCGGTATTGGTTTCTGAATCATTGAGTCAGAAGGAACTGCCTTTTTTTCCCTTCAGAGCATATATTTTAATAAGGGTTTTCAACCTTCACAGAAAGTATGACCTTCAAAATAGACCTGTTTACCAAAAAAACAAAACAAAACAAAAAAAAACCCTGAAACTATATCTGACTGGTTCAGGCTATAATACCAAAAGCTTGGAAGCTGACGAAATTTTTCATACCCTTCTTCTTAAACAAATGAGAATTAAGGTGGAATCACTTAAGTTTCTTTCTTATATTCTGTTCTTTTTCCTTCTTACCAGCTCAAGGTTGACTCTGCCTTCCATCCTTCCGAGGTCGGTAAAACAAGGACCCAGATTGTTGGGGGCAATATGATGACTCTGTAAACCGCTTAGAACAGTGGTTCTCAACCTTTTTAATGCCACGACCCCCAACCGGTCGTAAGTCGAGGACTACTCAACCAGTCGTAAGTCGAGGACTACTCAACTGGTGCACCACCGTTTGCAGAATGGGACTTTTGGTGGGCTCAGCAGGGCAGAGACAGCCTGGACAATTCCTATTGGCTTTTGAAAGCCAACAGAATTAGATTCTATTCAAGAGAGTCTATTCTACTGGCTTTCAAAAGCCAATAGAATAAAAGGGAGTAGCACAGCTAAGGAAAAGGGGGAAAAATGGCGGACTGCATTGTTTGGCGACCCCCCGTGAAATGGTCGTTCGACCCCAAATGGGGTCCCGACCCACAGGTTGAGAACCATTGGCTTAGAAAGAGCTGTAAAGCACTGTGAAGCGGTATGTAAGTCTAAGTGCTATTGCTATTCTTTAACTCATGTCTTCTTACCACTGCACTCCTTCCCCAAAGTCACATTTGTGATTCTCTTTATGTAAGCAATGCCAATACAGTGGGCAGCGATTTTCAGCTCTTTGTTTAATTCTGGGGCGTAGCAGGGTTAATAGAGAAAATGTACAGAGGCAATACAAAATTATTTTAAGGCTTAATTTGCTAAGAAAAAAAATGGGGGGGGAGAAGGGATGTTAGCAGAAATGGCTGCTTTGCTGCCACCAAATTTTATTGGGAGGTGAAAGAATTTGGAGGTCAAATTGCAGCCTACAATTCCGAGAGAGTAACTAGTACTGAGAACAAGTCAGGCACGACAGTCTTATTAAGTATAAAAGCTTATGCTAAAAAAATAGTTTTTACCAACTCTTACTTGCAACGAGGCCGCCAAATGAGAAGACTCATTGGAAAAGATCCTGAAGTTGGAAAGGTTGAAGGCAAAAGAGAAGGGGATTGCAGAGGATGAGATGGTTAGATGGTGTCATCAACACTATGAACATGGGTTTGAGCTAACTCTGAGAAGACAGCAGAAGACTGGAGATGGGGAGAGCTGCCATGTTGTAGTCCATAGTGTCACAGGAGTTAGACATGACCTAGCAACTGAACAACCACAAAAACAAAACAAAACCTTACAACAAGGTTCCTAAAGTATGTAGCTATTCTCATGAGTTGGGGTGAATCTATTGAGCAACTGTCTTTGCAGGAAACCTTATTATTTTGCCATTAAGATTTCAAGGCACCCATTCTTCACTCATTAACTTTCCCAAAGTGGTCTTTAACTTCTTAGACCAGGCTCTCACCATCAATAATTTAAAGCGGAACACCTGGGAACTTCACTTTACTGTCCTACAAAGTTTAGTGAGAGAATAGAAAAATTGGTAGAATTGTAAGTCCCTACCTAGTGTTAGAGCATAAAAAAACTCAAAGGAAGATGAGGGCCCCACAGAACTGAGAAGGATCGTTGATGTTTTGAATTCCATATTCTACATGCTAATCTTATAAAACTTCCTGACACAGGTAACCATTTAAGAATATGCTTCCCCCCCCCCTCCAAAAAAGATATTCTATCACATCTGCAATTGGCTTTATTACACAGATCATAAAGATGCTTAGAAGTTTGCTACCTACTTGAAAAACGTATCTCAACAAATAGGGCAGTGGTGGCACTCGGAGCCCTCTCTGTGGGCATGCACACCATGCCCCAGAGATGGCAACCGTCCCTCTTCAACCAGCCCCCCCGCTAACTCGCCGAGGTCCCACGTGGCTGGATGCATTCCAGCATGGCTGATTTCCTAACCCCCCCCCCATCCTCCTGGCCTCGCATGCTCTCCTTTTCCTGGGCACAACCCACTGCATCACCTCCTCAGCTCTTGGCTGGCCGTCCAGCTCAGAGGTGGCTTCTCTGAACTGCTGGCAGCAGATTGTGGAGCCCCAGAGTGTGTTGGTTGAGGGACTGGCAGGCTATGGCTGCTGATGGACACTGTCGGCCCCCATGTGTTTGCTGGCCTCTGTGTGCAGGGACCGATGGTGTCAGGCAGCAGCCACCCCGGCACCTGCCTCGCCTTGCCCTGTGACAATGGCACCCCCGCCCTGCCTCGCCTCACCCCGCAGGATGAGCCTCCTGCCCACTTCCCACCCGCAAGAGACCCCCTGGATCTCCCCCAACCCTGCCCGGCCCCCACAGGTGTCCCTCCCCACG